CTCTTTAAAACGCTGTGGTTACCATATATCCCATCTGTTTTAACATTAAAGAACTCTGCATTGTGCCCACATAGTTTGTTTTTTTTATGATTCTTACAATACAGAGTGACTGTTTCGCTAAACAGCATGAATCAGTTTTTTTTATGATGAAAGTGTTTCCTGTGATGTGTGAACGGAATTGTTATATATTATTTATGTTGAATTTGTACCTCACAAGCGATTAATAATTGACACTAATCGCTTTATGACCTCGAAAACCTATATTTATCGATTACTGGTCGAAAAGTCCATTCGAGTTCAACAAGGAATAATGTCTTTCTTTCCCCTAGCCTGTTTGTATCTTTATCTCCTTCTGTCCTTTATGTCTTAGAAAAGTGAATTAAGTTGCATGTTTATCCGTCAGATGGCACAGTTTCTAAAATAAAGTTGCCACCTTTGTGAGTACTTGAAACCTACACGTTTCCGTGGAAACGGCATGAGAACAACTCACATGATCGACCATAAGCCATATATATACTATAAATACGCATACGAATTCTTCTGCAGGCGCATTATGGAGCCTGGTCCTGGCGATCCAGTTTCATCGCCTGAAACACCCCACCCACGTCACAACAGTTGAGATTCCTGAACTGGTGAGTGATAATACATGTTTAACTGGTTTCAGTTTTATACATTCGTCTGTTAAGTTATGTGCGTTTCGAAATAGTGGTTGAACGTAACACCAATTATGCAATATAAAAATGAGTTCGCATTACACGGCCCTATTCCTTATCGCGTTGAAACTTAGATCTCCTTTTTATATCAGTCTGTATAGATACGGCTTTTCTTGTACTCAATATCGCCGTGTTTAGCCACGTCCTCTGGAATCTGACACGTCGCTTCACGTGTCTCTTCACTATCTTTGCTCCAGTTGACAGATCGTCATCGAACTTGGTACGAAAATCGTACGATTAGAGACGTAGATACTTGGTGCGTTCTGTAGAACCAAAAGATTCATTGCCGTATCCACAAGACCATGCCATTTACACCTACCCGAAACTAGTTGGATCAGATGTTGTGTGACGCTGTGTAACTTGATCTAAACAGATGTCATACCCTGGCGATGGAAGCAGCGTGCTCCTGCAGACTACACGGCGTCACATGCTCGAAGACGACAGACTTCATAGCAACAAGAGAACCTCATATTCAGTGCGCATGCTCTCACCATATTTGATTAAGATATATCTTCTGTCTATGCCTACGTGGCCTCGTCACAAAACTGTGTATGCATTTCTTAATCTCTCCATGCAAGCTACATGCCCTGCCCATCTCATCCTCCTTGATAGCCTCAGCCTTATCATACTTATACTTACCTGTTCAAGAGCGAGATTTATGGAGGTTCTCGTTATGTAAATCCCTCTCAAATGCTCTTTTATTTTGTGGATGAACCGATAATGTGATAACAGATCTGCATGGTGTGGCAGGAGCGCTTTAGAGTTGCATTGTGGAGCTGCTCGGTTCGAATCTCGGCTGGGACATCGGATATGCCCGATTATTACCGTGGTTTTCCGTAGTCATCCCAGTCAACTTCATGGATCGAGTTTGCCATGATCGCTTCCTTCCAAATTCTCTCTAATTCATCATGTATGGGTCATCGTACCAATCTATGCTGTGTAGTCTGAGTTAGTGACAACATCGTTAAATAAACAAAAAATAATATTCACAAAAATTAAGCCATATTTAACTGGTAACTCAATCAGTAGATACAGTGTCAGAATCAACAAGAATTAAATATCCGTCAAATATCACGCTGGTATCTTACACGACTTATTCGAACCTGATGATGGAGGCGATATGTTTCTCCGAAACGTCAGTTGACTTTCACCGGACTACACGGCGATATATCCCAGAAGATAGTACTCTTCATAACCACCGATGCGGGAACCTCAAATCCTGCGAAGTAAAAACAGATTTATTAAACGGGCCCGAGAAGTCTGAGGAAGTTTATAGAAGCGTGTGTAAACATTTTAGTGTACGTGGACACGAGTCTCCTCTCTCGCAACAAATTGAAGACAGAATGGACGAAGATATCCAGATTCCTCCTCCTTAGTTTATAAGGTGTAAGCTTCAATGCTAATTTATAGATAAAGCCCGCCTGACAAAGTTAAATATTATGGCATAAGGAAGATGGATTTGCCGCTGCGTTAGAGACATTCGGCTCTCGTGACTTGGCTTCTGGCTACCGAAACGTCCTGGTTCCGTTCAGGTCCAAGATATTTATCTTCTTGTGATGTGTGTGAAGCCTAACTAATGCCGTTGCCGAACTTAAGGATACGGAACCCGGCTTGTTTCCTTGTCATTATATTTTCACTGTTGCAGTTTTATGTATGGCTTCGGCTTTCGGGAATGCACTGAGTTGAATGTTCCCGAACGCTTCGGCAAGCATTGAAGTTGCAAGCTTTATTAATCTCATGACCGCTCCATATTGGCCTGCGTTTACATGTAGTCCAATCACGACTTCACTTCCATCTTACCTCCCAATGCGAAATGTATAAATGTCTTTCAAAAGCTGTTAGCCCTGAACATGGCAGCTGTAATGTTTGCCGAAACATTGGGATACTTTCAACATTGTACGCGGCCTACTGCCGAAAGCCGAAGTCATACATACACCAATTTTATCTTCGATATTGCAGTGTATTTTGTTTCGAATTTTACATTTATTTGACTACGATTTAAGTAGCTCAGGCTTATACCGTCAAGTGATAATTAGTGGAGAGTGAATTGCAAAGAATTTGAGACACTGTCCTCGAATTTGCGTGGAGGGACGTACGGAAACCACCAGAAACCTCAGTCAGGATTTCTGGTCTCGGATCTAAGATTTGAACTCAGGGCTTCGTGAATACAAAGGAAGGTTGGTACCCACTGGACCCCGAAGTTCGGTAATAACAGGGCTTGGGGTAAGGATGAGTGGTGGACTGTTCTTAACACGGCAATGAACCTTCGGGTTTCATAAGAGGCAAGGAAATTATTTACTAGGTGAGCGACTATTAATTTCTCAAGGACTCTGCTTAGAGGAGTCATTTAATTAGTTATGTATTTAAAGTTGTCGTTCAAAAAAAATTAACAAAATTCCTCCTTTTTTGTGGTAGATCAGTTACATCTCTTGTCATGTAAGGAAATCATGTCGACATTCGTTCGGTCGCGTTTCGCGGCCGTTGAAATACGGCATCGGGTTAACCTTCGGGTTTCATAACCAACTCAGCCAGTGCTGCATGTAACTACATTGTTACCGGCATGTTGATATAGCGTTCCAAATTGCGAAGTTATACCTGACCTGTGCTTAATTAAGCACCACTTCCTGAAGACATGTTGGTGCACGGAGGTGTAGCTCCACGAATTCATAAACTCTGCACTAGATGGGGGTCGGCGGTCATCTACATATCCCTGCCGCTTTAACGTCCCCCATCCGGAAAAACCTGGTTCCCACTGGATAGGATGCTGGATGGACCCCAGAGCCCGTATGAACCTTGTGCCCAAGCCTGGAATAGAACCACGATCCCTCGGTCTCCCAGCCCGTAGACTGCATTATAAAGCGTTCAGTCATGAAGTGCGACACGCTGAAATATATAAACAGGAGCCTGACATTTGCGCTTTCTATCGAGTTTAAAATACAACTATACCCTGAAGATGGAAAAATTATGTTCTTTCGAAACGTCTGTTATCGACGTACCAGACTACACAACGTCATACTTCAGAAGGTATTAATCTCAGTGATCCCCGTCATAGAACCTAAAGTCTCGTGATTTTACTCTGTTTATTTCTGTACAAGTATTTAGTCCCTACCCTTTGTTTCGGCCTTGTTTTAATTGTCACGAGCAGCTCACCGGATTATGTTAGGGCACAGTGGTGAGTTCCAGGGCGTAGCGGTGTGATTCTCAGCCATCTGCATATTGCGTCGGGCCGCAGGGAAAGCAGAGGCTTCTGTTTTTGCAATCAGTGCGTTTTCACATTTACATTACTCATTAGCGAAGGTTCTTAAAGAGCTTAAGTACTGTAACATTTTGTGACTGTAATTACAGAACACGGTACAGTGCTGTTAGCGCACGTGTTCAGCACAACGACACTGCTTACAGTGGAAGACATGTTTAGTACACCTAACTAAAATTTGGAGCCGATCACAGTGGCCGCGCGGTCTAACGCATGAACTGTCTTCACCCGCTCATACACTGGGATCGTGGGTTCGAATCCCAGTCGAGGCACAGATGTCTATGTGCTTGTATTCTGTATTGTCCTGTGTGCAGGTAGCGGCCTTGCGACGGGCTGATCCCCGTCCAGTGAGTCCTACCGTCTGTGTAAAACATCAGGAAACTGAAGAAGAGGCCAAGGCCCGACAAGGGGCTGTAGAGTCATAGATAGATAGGTAAACAGACACACAGACAGACAGACAGATAGATAGATAGAAACTAAAATTTGGGTTTTGGGTTGTCACGGTGGTGCATGTGAAAAGTTGGGTTGTAAAGGCGTGTAGTCCAGAGACACAGGCCAACGTTTCGGAGGAACATATAGCCTTCATTTTCGGTGTCCAGGAATAAGACACGCAAGAAATTAGCAGAAGCAGGAGTCGACCCTCAAGACGGGGCCGATATGTTCCTCCGAACTGCAGAACCTTACAACGCAAAGAGCTCGCTGTTTAACTCAGTTCTGTATGACTGGATGAATTATATTGCTGGAGAGTTCCCATCCCGCCCAGACAAGCGTCAAGTGCCACTGGTTGAGGAACATCCATCCAGATTCTGGAAACCCTGGAAGTTTATGTTCGCAATAAGTCTGGACCATCTCTGGTCTCTAGACAGTGTAGCACCTCAGTTTCCAACCCCCATTGGTGGGGGATGTTTGAATGCAGAAGTGAGTTAAGTGGCAGAGCGCCCTGCGGCAGGCGGTTAGACAGACGGGCAGAGCGGGGCAGGTCGTTCCAACTTTCTCAGATTCACTCTGTATCAGCAGTAGGTAACAGGCCGCGCTCTGTGCCGGCAGTTGTCTTGACTTGCCGCGTCCATACAAATCAGGTGGTGATAACTGCAAAATAAATGTCGCTCGCTGGTTGTCGTTGTCGTGGTCATGGCATGGCGTGTCGCGCACTTGTGTGCTTGTGTCGGATGGCGATTTGTTCTTGTACAGTCGTGATTCGTAATTAGAAACGTGTGTGTTCATTAACTTGATGGTGTTTAAGAAAGTTCTGTGAATCTCCTTTGCGTTCTCCGACTCAAAGACAACAGCATGAAAACATTCTAACTTACTTAAACTATCAGGTTTTCCAAGTGATCATTAAATTTGTGACGGGGAAACGCTTCTGCTTTCATGTTACTGAGCACTTCCATTGATTGGTGAGGAACCAAGTGTGAGCGTATTAATGAGTAGATCCTCAACGGGGCCGTCAGATCATCCTACTTAGAAGTGCACGGGACAGCGCAAGCGATTGACAGCGACTGTCGCAGAAAATGGCAGAACATTTGACTGTAGTTACGGGATTCCTGTGTTTTCATCTAAACTTTAAGTGTTATTTTCCATATAATTTGCCAGTGTTTGACGGGGTTAAATATCTTCCAAGCCGCTTCAAGCGTTTCGGTTGTGCACAGTGAAATCATGGAAGGATAATTTGTTGTTCAGGAGTTTCATTTTCTTTTACTGAAATTATGAAACGAGTTATTAATATTGCAGGTCTCCTGTGTTAGGACATTTTTAATGAGATCGTAGAAAAGACTTAAACAGTTAAAATGCAGGAAACATGAAGACTTGAAAATGAATGCTTAATTAAGTAACTTCAGAGAAAAGACATTTAGAGAAACGTTTATGGGCTAACACAGTATAACCCCTATTGCAATACCGAAAAAGATGCGAACAATTTATAGAAATATTTTCATGTTTTTTTTGCAGTCTTCATACGGCAGTAAATTCGAAGTTCTAAGGAACATATTCTATTTATAATTTAATTAAATACGTCAGTGTAAATTGTTTGTCAAATGTTTCGTGTGAGAAAGGAAGGAACGTCAAGATTCAATGCTTCTAGTTCATTAATGCAAGTGCGATACGGTTGTGATATTGGTGAGACAGCATGTGTGGTGATTGTTCTCGCGAGGTGATATGATGATATGATGATGTGACAAACATTATGCTCCAGTCTCGTTGCTGTTGCTCTGGCCGACGGCTCCGAGTCTTCTGTCTTCTGGTTGTCATCTCTCTTCTGCAAAACAGCGGGAACTTCAGGTCAATATTGCATTTTCTGTTTTGTGTAGCCTGATGTATGCCCGTTAATGAGAAGTAACCGCTTTATATAACGGAATAGCCGTCGATAAAACCGAGCTCTTCACCAGAATTGTTTCCCTAATATAAAACATACAGAAATATTAAAATTGCTTATATATTATAATGATCTTATGACTATATTGTCACGATTTGGGGGGGGGGGTTATGCGTGACTTATACGACGGGTTCTGGATTTGATGATTGGATTTATTGGCATCTTATACACACCACTCGGAACTACAATTATAGCTCTATTGCTAATCTACACACTATATAGTTCAACGTTACGCACGCATTAAGGTTCTCAGTCTATACTAGTCGTATCCTGGCAACGGATTTATATCAGTCTCGCTGTCACTTCAGATCACTTAAGGAGTCTTATTTTCAGCGCCTAATTCCTTTCTTGCCATTATTCTGCAGCTGACAATTCCGAGGACTCGACTCAATTCAATTCCTCTGCTCCCAAGCTCCTATCCTGGCAGGCCAGCGTCTCGAAGCTCGACTAAGTCTTCTCCGCTGAACTCTTCTTTGTAACCACTTTGCACGGACCAGGCAAAAAACACAGCTTCTCTGTTGTTGAGAAGACATGTTTACTGCGCCGTTGCATAACAACGGAAATTATTCGATTGTTGCTTACGTATTCGTTGCCGAAGGGATTATGTTTACCGAGCAGTTGCCTAGCAGTTGACATCTCTGATTTCACTATTCCGGCTTTCGGGCGTCATGTCACAATATATCCCCAGTGGCAAGTTCTGTGTTATTTTCCGTTGACGTCTCTTTGTACATTAAACGACTGCCAAGCAGAGAAATCGGTGTCTTAGTACATTTTGCGCTGGTAGTAGTCACACAGGAGCGAGACTAGAAGCCGATATGCTGTGAAACTTGGACGAAAGTCGACGGTATAAGCATGTAAGAAGACTTTAGTGGGGACCACAACGCTGCAAAAGGTAAGGACTGAACCCAGACAGTGGTCTGTCTATCGGCAGAGTATAGATACACACTACCGAAGCAACAGTGAAGTACAGACGTACTGAAATGAGAAGTCAATACACAGCGCAACTCAACTGTTTTGTGACGACGTTGAACATTGAGGTGCTGTGAATAACAATAAAATTCGCACGCGCCGTGTTTCTGCCCGAGCGATTGTGGTCGTTACTGCTTGTGAAGGTTCGATAAAAATGCGAAGATCTGTAAGGACGGCCGATTTCATGATCCTGGAACAAATATTTCGATGCTGTCGCTCAGTTCTTACTGCACCAGGAAGTCGTAATTTCACGATGAGTCTGTCTCGGGCAAACGCTCCCATGGATGCTGACGCGAATATTTCCATGCAGTTGAGTAGGCCCATCCAAAGTTGCTGTATTTAGGACGAACAGTCAGATGTGTTTCACTGAAAATTTAATACGGATAATACCGCGTTATTTTACGAAATATGTTATTTGTAGACCTACCCCCTGTCCACGTCGAGACCAAGATACTTTTCCTGCATAGGGATGGATACTTTGTCTATGTCCACAGAAGTGAGTGTCCTGCTCTTTCAACTAACCTCCTGATTGATGTTCCAAGTTTATCAGTGTTAAACGTGTGGCGCCTTACCTACGTTTCCAGGGCAGAAGCAATGTGTGGTAATGGCTGGAACTGAAAATGACATGGAAAGAGTATTGAAAACTCGTCCTAATTATGTTCATGGATAATATTCCTTTATTAAGCGTATAGTCACTCACTTTGTCAACAAATTCTGAGCTTTATATGGAACCTGCGGATTCATTAGTCTTCCCAAGAATCTGCCATATTATCATAGTGTGTTCTTTTAAGCTTCAATTTTACTATCGTCCTTTCGTTTCTAGTGTCCCAGTGAGAATATTTGGAAGCATTCAAGGTATAACGGTAAAAACACCTGGATAAGAATAAATGAAAGATTTATTCATATAGAAAAGCAAATTCTGGATGATTCGATGAGAGACATGAACTCGCTAATGTTACAGTGGGGCAATAATTCGAGTACGGTGTATAATATGATTAAGTTCTAATAGTTCGTGACGATGGTATATTAACAGAATTATTGAGGTTTTGGACATTATTCATCTTCCTGTTTCTATTTAAAACAGCGTTTCGGAGACTGGATTCTATCTCCGTCTTCAGGTATAAACCTACTCGGCTTGGCGCAATCGACTTCCAGAGATAGGGACTAGCTCTATCGATTTGGCCTAACTGAGTAGGTTCCACCTGAAGACGGAGACAGAATCCAGTCTTCGAAACGTTGTGTTTTAAATAAATAACAGGACGATGACTAACATCCAGAAACACAGTAACTGAGGAAGTTAGGAGTTTAAAGGGGATTAAGAGAAACAAGAAACACGGGCTTTGCCCTGAGTGTAGCAAAGAGGGAGGCTGAGACCGCATATGGAGGTGCCAAGTTGGTTGAAATAGGTAGTATAAGGTAACATGATGCAAGAATGAAAAGCAGTGACTGGAAAATATGAATACATACGACTAAAAATGTAAATTGTCCCTGTACTCAATTAATTAAGCACGATGCCATGAAGACATATGGGAGAGTGAAGATACAGCTCCACCATCCTTGACATCGGCACTGAATGGAGGTGACTGGTCAGCTTCACGCCTCCGGTCGCTTTACTCACGGAGAAATTGCACCGGTACCCATTCGATAGGAGGATGGGTGAGCCCCAGAGCCGGTCTGGACACTGGAAAAGAGAATAATGTTGCAACGCCGGGAATCGAACCCGATATATATGACTAATATAGAGATAGACGGGGAGGGTGGTGAGAAAGCGCGGTAGTAAGGCAGGAATACGTTTAGGTGACCATTACCCCGTAGGAGCAGTAATGAGTTATATGAAATTAAAACTTTGATGTGTAAGAAATGAGTTCTGTATTAAAGGAATATCAATGTAATGTAGGAACTTACGAAGTGGAACTCATACTCAGCCACGTCAAGGTGGGAACTGTAACGTGCCTTAGAAATCTTCGGATTTTGCTTCCTGCTGTAAATTCTATTCAGGACCATCGACACAACTATCTAGAATTAACATGTTTTAGTTTAACACGTAATAAAGCATTCGGAATTCTTCTGCCTCATGCATTTTGTGTTCTGCAATGTGGACTACACCTTTCCGAATCTTGTGTTTAAAGCATCGACCTGTACTGAAATTTGAACGGTATTGAAAGCAGTTTTCATAACAGTCATTTGAGACACAGCGAGGCATCTGGCCTGAGCCTTTGCACAGGATGTGTAGGGTAGTCTACTGCACGATTGGAGGATGGTGTCAGAGGATCTGATTATGTGGATGGGATGCGACTCGTTCGTGATGGGGTCTAAACACGTTGATTAACCTTCGGGTTTCTTAAATGGAGCAGAATTTCGAGGCCACCTGCGCAAATATCAGCTTCTCAAGGACGCTATCCGTGAAGTTAGTTAGTGCCCATTTACAGTTCATTATCGCCGAACGGATAGCGCAGCGTTGTAGCTCTGGGCTTGGATTAGGGAGGTCCTCACTATTCTGACTGAAGCTCTCCTCTGCCCCTCCAAGAAAATGCCAGAATATTACCCCCAGTAGGTCATCACCCCTTCCTTCCAATTCATTATTCGACGCTATATTGTCTGGCTACTAACAACCCAGAGAAAGAATCGGTACCAGTTACCACCTAATCATACTATAGTATACAGTTGAACCAGCGTCATTAAATAATGCATGAATCAATCACTGAGTTAAGTTTATGCTAGAAATACAGTAAACCCTCGCTAATCCGGATTGATTTGGGGGGAGGTTCATCCGAATTAAAAGATAACCTGGATTAGTGAAGCAAAAGGTAGCGCTAAAAGACAAAAAGAAGTAGAACACAAAAATTGTAAAATTTAATGATATAAGTAATGCTGATGAAAATAAATAAAAAGAAATATCACTTTATTTAAAAACTATAGAAAGATATTTCATTTATTCGTATATAGAAAACTCAGAATTTTTACATGTTTTTGAACGTAATAATGCAGGTTTCAAGAAACTGTCAAGTTTTGTCTGAACAGGCAAGTGATTCGTCTGCCTTACTAAATGTCATGTTTCTTTTAAAATATACGTACGTACTCAGCTATGAACAACGTTCTTCATATTTCGATCTGAATTAACTGTAACCGGATTAGCGAGGGTTTACTGTATGTTCGAGTTAAGGTAAATCTTCTTCAATAGTGCACCTGTGCTGTCTGAACACGGTGGGTCAATTGGTTTAGCTTTAAAACCAATTGCATGTCGTAAGTTAGAGATTTCCGGGAGACTAAGACAGAAGTTCAGATTTCGTATTAGCACTTGGCTTTATGTTTTCGTCCACAGTGATAAATGACAGCAAGCAGGTTTCGTTGCCAGGAGACGCACTCATCAAATGTTCGGTGCCCGCGCTCACCTAACTCTAGGAATCGTCACAAGACAATTACAGTTAAGCATTCCATTTATCCTGTCTGATATCTGCATAGCCAGTAAGTCTGTCTGCCTGACGCGATCCTGAGGCACTGAAATACAAGTTGGACTAGGTTGTACAGAAATTTTATTTTTATTAAACCCTGAAGAAAGGAACAAGAAGTGTTTCATAATGTTGAATGCCACATTACTAGAACCATGTCGAAAAGAATGGAGTTAAGTGACGGGTTGTTGGGGCTTTTAAAGCACAGCGGAAAATGTGCCACTTGTTTCAGAATTCAAAATCTCTGCATTTTGCCTGTGCCTTGTTCTATGTCGTCTTCTTAGTTCTTAATAGTTCTACCTCAGATTTTCATAATCTTTCAGGTTATAAATGCTTTTAATTCCTTAGGGCTTGAAGGCTGTATGTCCATGCTTAAATTGAGTAAAATCACATGTATATTAGAAAAATAGTTCCCTCTTGTATATCTTATTGTCACGTTTTCCTGGTTAGCGTGACGGATAATAATGGTTTCTGGATTAGTTGAATAG